TGTCCCCCAGGACTCCCAGGTCCCTTTCCACAGAGCTGCTCTCCAGCAGGTCAGCCCCAACCTGTACTGGTGCATGGGGATGCCCACACTAAATCACTTTGCTCATTAGCCACGTCCTAACGAGCTCTGCCTGACCTCCAGCTGCTGCTGCTCAGGGCTGGGTGTCCCGGTGTGGGGCCAGGCGGGGATACTAAAGACACCAAAGTGAATGCAGGATTTATCCAAAATCTTGCAAAAAAAGGCGAGATCAGAGACCGAAGTTTGGGCTAGGTGCTTTTTTGGGAGGGACAAAGAGGGGTTCAGGGACGGGGAGAAAGGCGGTGCGAGCCTCCAGGAGCCAGCAAACCGCTGCCGGGCTCGCGAGAGAGGATATTAAAAGCAGGCTGCCTTGAAACCACCCCGTCTCTGTTGCCGAAAACATCCTGTTTCCGCAGCTCCGAGGTGGTTGGCGGTATTTTTAGCAGTTTACTCATTTTCTAACCCATTTCCACGGGGCGTGGGGCGAGTCGCAGGACACCTGCTGCCCAAGCCAGCTTCGAAACGATGCCTTGGGGGAGTTGCCTCGCCAAAACCGTATGTACGTTTTTTTTAGGGAGGTTTTGGGGGGAATGTTCCTCCTTTCCCGAAGGCAGGATGGGAAGGAGCGGAGCAAGACAGGCAGAGCATTCCCAGCTCTGGGATGGAGGGATGCTGGCAGCGGAGGGCACGGACCATGGGGCACGGTTGCCCCATGGCCCTTGCCCAGGCAGTGTGGGGAGAGATGGTTTTTGTGGAGGGATGCTTTTTGGGGAGCAACCGGGGTATCGCAGCTCCACATCCCTCTCCAAAGAGCCTCAGGTCTGGAGATGAGCTGGACACCCCATGCTGGTTTGCCCCTGGTGGGATGGTGTCTGCTCCAGGTGGGACCTGCTCCCACCGGGGTCCTCATCGCGGCCATGGGAGGACTGGGATGGCATCAAGCGGCGATGTTCCTCTTACAGCTCTTCCCAGCCCGAGGAGAACAAGTCTACATCACTAAACGCTGTATCTCTCTGCACATCCTCCCCTCTGAGGGGAGATGAAGGGTGCTGGGCAGAAGGTCTCAGCTCCGACACACTGGTTTCTGGTCTCCAGTAGCATAAAGTGGGATTTTCCATGGGAAAACCAAACCTCCACCATTAAGGTTGCCCATGAATACCCAGTTCTGGTCCTCCATGGACCGTCAGCTCCAACGTTGAAGTTTCAGCCCCAGACACCTGAACCTGAGGACCATCAGGGTTGTCTCCCTGGGTTACGTGTGGTTCTCAGCTGGATGGGGTCTCCTCCCCCCGTCGCAAGACCACCCTGTGCCTACGGTTTTCCTTTGATGCGATAAGAGTGCTCCGGGCACCCGCGGTCGATGTTGGCTGGCTCCAGTCAGCTACATCCAAAGCCCCGAGGTTTGGCTTCAAATTCCAGACATGCAGAAAGCAATAACAAAAAGAGATGATTTTTTTTTTTTTCCCCTCTTTATTTTGCCTTTCTTTTCCAAGATTGCGGTCCACAACCCCGGGGGGGGTGGTGGGGTGGTTTAAGGTGGTTTTATCGGGGTCTTACTGAAAGCTGAAGCCCTGCCAATCACGGGACTCCAGGAGGTGGGGCTTTGAAGATGCCTCCAGCTCTCCCTGCCCTCAGCCTGTGCCATAATGGTCTTGTTATTGCTGGAGCCGCTTTCGGGTGAGCAGCTGTAGCTCAGCCCGGGACAAGATCGCCTGTCCCGAGCTCTTTTGCACAATTCATGGCATCCCTCGCTGGGGGTTTCGCGGGCCAACAACAACATTAAAACAATGTAATGCAAGAAATAAGTGGGAGAGGCTTCAAAATTCCAGTGAAACCTTCTCTGTCCCTTCCCGAGCCGGGGAAAAAAAACCCACAAAATCCACCCTTTGCCAAAAAGACGCGGGCTGCCTTCGCATGAAATCCCTCTCCCTCCTCTCCAGCTGCCTGCGGGCACAGAAAATCACCCCAAAAGGGACGACGTGGGGGGCAGCGCTCGGCCCTGCCCCAGCCCCGGAGAGCAGCTAGTGGTGATTTGGGGCTGGAAAGGTTGGGGGGAAGTCCATAGTTGTGTGTGTCCCCCTCCCTGTGGATGCTGGGAAGGAGGTGGGTGGGAAGGGAGGAACTGGTCCTTAGTGGTGGCGTTTCCCACCCGTGCCCGCTGCGGCACCCATCCAACGCCCCCCACACCCAGCAGGGGGGTGGTACGGGGAAGTGGGAAACCAGGCATCTTCCCAAAACTGCTTCCAGCACGACGAGGAGGGGGAAACAAGCCGGCGGCGAGGCGGACCACATGGGATGCGTACGCGGGGAGGAGCAGGGGCTGGGAGCAATTACAGGCATTTGCGAGCAGCTTTCCCATCCCTGCGCTCCCCAAAAAGCCGGAGAAGGGAAGGCAAGGAGTCCTGCCGGCACGCGCGGGCTCGTCCTTACCCCACGCAAAATGATGGGGGGGACGGGGGTGACCTAGTGCCCGTGACCCAGTGATGGGAACGATTCCAACCCCCAAACACGGGGGTTCCTGAGCATCTCCATCCCCAGCACGTGACGCTTGGACCCTGCGGCGACTCCCACCTCAAAGCTTAGATCGAAACCGCTCCAGACGTGCAGTATGGAGCCGTGATGGGCTCATGGCATTGTCCCCAAGGAGCTGGAAGCAGGGCGCTTCTGCTCCATCCCATATTTTCCTCCCCTGGATGGCATGGAAAACCCTCCCAAACACCTCTGCAGAGGGAGCAGAAACACGGGTCCATGCCCATAGCCAGACCCAGTGGTCTGAGCTCCTGCAGAGGGGAATCCCAGACTGGTGATGGTTGGAAAGGACCTCTAAAGCTCATCCGGTCCAACCCCCCCGCCAGAGCAGGGGCACCTCCAGCAGTGGCACAGGACGGCGTCCAGGCGGGTTTGGGATGGCTCCAGAGGGGGAGACTCCCCCACCTCTCTGGGCAGCCTCTGCCACTGCTCTGCCGCCCTCACAGCAGAGAAGGCCCTCCTCAGGTGGAGATGGAACTGCCCATGGTCACCTTTGTGCCCGGTCCCTCTTGTCCTGTCACTGGGCACCACTGGAAACAGACTGTCCCCATCCCCCCGGCACCTCCCTTGAAGGATTGATCAGCGTTGAGAAGATCCCCCTCAGTCTTCTCTCCTCCAGACTGAACAGCCCCACGTCCCTCAGCCTTTCCTCAGCAGAGAGATGCTCCACTCCCCTCAGCATCTCCGTAGCCCTTTGCTGGACCCTCTCCAGCAGTTCCCTGTCCTTCTTGACCCGGGGAGCCCCGAACTGGACACAGCGCTCCAGATGTGGCCTCCCCAGGGCAGAGCAGAGGGGGAGGATGACCTCCCTCGCCCTGCTGGCCACCCTCTGCTTGATGCCCCCCAGGATGCCACTGGCCTTCTTGGCCACCAGGGCACATTGCTGGCTCGTGGGCATCCTATTGTCCCCCAGGACTCCCAGGTCCCTTTCCACAGAGCTGCTCTCCAGCAGGTCCGCCCCAACCTGTACTGGTGCAGGGGGTTATTCCTCCCCAGAGTACCGCTGCACCATGGAGGGAGGACCCAGGCTCAGCCTTACCTGAGAGGATGAAGACCCCGACGAGGATGAGGAAGACGAGGAGGTAGAGTCCCACCACGGCATACTTCAGCGCCGCCAAGGAGCCCAACCGGCCGCAGCGTCCTGCTGCCTTCATCCTCCGCCCGGGACCTGGGGGACAGAGCGGGGTGTGAGGGAGAGCATCACGCACCCAGCCCGCCGGGGCTCCATCTCCCATCTGGAGAAAATATGGCAAATATAACTTCATCGGCACCTGCAGCCCTGGGACTCCGCCTGCCAGGCAGGGGGCAGGCAGCAATAAGGGGACGGAGGAAGATAGGATGAGAGGGGACAGTTTTAACCTAAAAGAGGGAAGATTCAAACTAGGTATTAGGAAGAAATTGTTGCGGGTGGTGATCCCCTGGGGCAGGTTGCCCCGAGAAGCTGTGGCTGCCCCATCCCTGGAGGTGTTCAAGGCCAGGTTGGACGGGGCTTGGAGCAACCTGGGCTGGTGGGAGGTGTCCCTGCCCAGGGCAGGGGGGTAGATTAGATGAGCTTTTGTTGTGTTTTCGGCCGGGATGGGGTTGACTCTCCTGCCGGCAGCCGGGGCCGGGCTGCGGTTTGGGGTTTGGGTGAGAATAG